GATCTGCGAGTTTAGTGCAAAAACGCATGATCGCACCGGGGAGCCTGGTGCGTTCCAGCCTGGATTTTAATATCAGGTAATTCCTCAAATCATGTGATTTGAAAAAAAAAGATACCGCCTTTCATTTCCCATGATTATCTGGTTCATAAAAAATTCGTAAAACAGGAAAGTGATTAAGAACTTTTAAAACAGGAAGGTGATTGAATTCGAAGAAGAGATGAGTGAAAGTGCAACTCACGGTCGAGTTTTGTTGCGATTTTGCGTGCCGCAGCCGCCGCAGTTCGCCGAGCAAGTAGTCCATTCTGTCCACTCGTCTTAAAATTGCTCATTTTGAAGCTGCGAATTTAGCAATATAACAGTCATTTCAAAAAAAAAAAATTGAAACTGCCTGCAATTACGTAAATTAAAACATGTCTGTAAATGCATTTCAAACAGAGAATGGACCAGACAACGTACCCTCTCTTTGAACATCGTGTTCCGGCAATGTGTCCGTCTTGCTGAAACAGATGTTCGGTTACAGAAGTGCATTTATGAAATTAGCTAAAAATATGAGTTACCAGACAAGGCGCCAGTGAATTACCCTGTGTTCGTATGTGTGAGCTGTTAAAAACAATTTATTGGCGGGTGTCTGAGGTTGTCTTGAATAGAAACTTTGGACAGGCAGTGGTAAACAGAAGCAACATGTTCAGTTATGCAAGCCGTGCTGCGCAGTAATAATGCACAATGAATTTAGAGCCTACAGGTTCAATCGTGCATTGCCATCGAAATCACGGATTCAGCAATCGACTTCGATAACCAGAATTAACGTTTTGTATGGATAAATAAGATGAGAAAATCAGTAATTTTAACTGCTGAGTATACTGTATACGTTAAATTTCGACAGGAGGTGCCACCTCCAGCTATTTTGGACTGCTAATACCTTCCATGTAGTTACTGCAAAAAATAGTGATACCAAAATGTTTTAGCTTACTTGGGCAAATGTTCATCAACAAGTAATTCTGGAATAATAACATCTTTCTGCCCTTTTTTCTTCGTCTTCTGCTTGCCTTCCTCCAAAGTTCTGATGATCGTTTCCGTGGACTGTGAACTGGAGACAAACGACTTTTGGATCTTTGTTTCAAGCAGTTCTGCTGGCGAATTAATCGTTATTTCGGTTTCTGACTTGACGTCCGTCCCCTTGATGCTCTCCTCCGCAGCTTTGTTATGGGCATCAGTCGAAGCTAGAAAAGACGACCCTGTAAAAAGAGATATGCCGAGTTATACTTCTGCTGAAAGCTTATAATGTTAAATCCGCTTAACGATTTGAAGAAATCAAAATATATATGATATGCGCTTTGGCTTTACTCGGCAATCCATGAATGAATAGGGAGAGCCGGGTGGGGGACACAGTGGGATCCCGCAGTAATTAAAAGTATGACAGGAAGGACAAAAAACACAAGAAACTGAGTGCAAAAGTATAAATGCAATCTAATATTTGCGAATACGAAATGGTGCTTAAATTCAAAAAATGATTGCAAAAACCAAAGATTTAGGCCGCTCTACCGATATCTGTGGTGAAGGTAAGAAAATTAATTGATGGAACAAAAACCTCGCTACATCAAGACCTTTATGCAAATTTAAAACCAGCAAAAGCGGAAAATCTAAGGACTAGAAATGCATAATACTTTGAAGCTTAATAAAGTAAAGAATATTGTGCAGAAGCATGCACACTACTTCCATGAATAGCAACTAATAAGTTGCTGTCATTTTTCACTGCGTCGCTGTTAGAGTATTATTTCGCTTGAACATCTTCTGTATGTTTTTGCACGACCGGTGATATGCTGTGCAAAGTTATGCAATTGGCTGTCACTTGTTTTCTTCCCAAACGTACCACCGAATTCTTCCATGTGGAAGGAAGGATGCAGAATTTCAACAAAGCTAACAAATAACATTTAAATCAAATGAAAAATATTAAGTTGCGTTGAAGGTAGCATAAATAGCCCACGAACCGCTAAGTAAGCCATGAAAAATGAGTACTGTTCGACTGAGATAAGTTGGTGTGCCAAACTAAACAGCCCGGCACTAAGTGAGAGTGCGCCTTTTGCTTCTGGGAGCTGAACGCTTCATACGTACTACTTGCTTTGTTTCAGTGTATTTCACTCAGCGTGAGGAACGAGTAATTTTTTTCACCAATGTTGTTGTCTTCGATACAAAATAACCAGCGGCTGAATTGAAGCATGCTATAGCCCCAAACGCAAACGTCTAACCAGTCACGCTTAGAAGATTCTCCGCAGTTTTAGTAACAATTCTGGAAAAAAACAAGCTAAGGCGTACCGCATCGGAATATCAGTATTATACTACTGTTCTCTGATCCGCGATATGATATTGCAAGCACGTTCGATTCACTGATAATTTTCTCCGGCTTTGAGACACAAAATCTGGAAAAAGCATAGAAGTTCGTAGTCTGAATCCAATTTTTGCAGGCTGCACAGTTGCATTTCGCAAAATTTTTGCTATTTTAACAGGCATTCGCGCGAGTTTCATTTCGTGCTTTGCAGTCGAATGTGTAAGTGAACTCTGCTTTCTGCGAGGTACTTATACTTCCATGTAGAGCTAGTTACACGATGCAGAAAGCTCAAAACAGTAAGGAATGGAGAAATTGCTATCTGCATCGATATTGAGAAGGAACTCGATGAGGCAAATGCAGTTCAAGACACCATGGTCAGTGATATACGGAAGCCCCTCATAAGATAATCATGCCACATCCCTATATTTGGAACTTGACCTATGAAGAGCTGCTGACACGTACAAGCTTTCAGTTCAGTTAGCATTGTTAGCATTCCTTTGTATTTCTGTGTATGATTTCATTTTAAAGATACTTTTTGACTGGAAGAAATTTCGGAAGTGAAAATGTGTTATTTCAGGATCTTGAAAAAAGTGGTAATTCTCCTAAAAAGTTATCTTGAGGAGAAAAGGCACTTGTGCCCATATGCTACTGATATTTGCAGGGGAGCAGCTGCTGCCTGTAAAGTGTGGAAAAAACCTCGTCCGAATTTGATACCCTTTCAATTTCTCTTAATTTTTCCGCAAATTTGCTGCATTCATTGAAATTCAGTTTAAATACTCATCTTCCTAAGCAATTGTATGGTATCCTCCAAACTAAATGTGACAACTGTCCAGCTTAATGTGCACCGTTCCGGCTGAACTTAAAATCATATGCCCAATAACTCGCTCATTATGGAACGTCTGACTGCAGAGGAGAGAAGGAGCAATTTACTGCCAGCTGGATCATTTTCGCTGTGAAAAAAACGAGATGGAAAGAAGTTAGCTAACCTTGCCCCGGTAACACTCAGGTCCTTGCGGTATCGCACTTCTAGGTACTCGTCTTCGCACGGAATGTGGCTTTTGAATGAAAACTTTGCAACATCCAGCTCCACTACCTCGTCACTGCGCGAAGACTGCAAACTTCACTTAAAATAAGATTCATTCAGCTACGACAATTAACAAACTTCTGGCTTTTCCGTTTCTAACACAGCCCCATTCACCAGTTTCGATTAACTTAAAATCATATACCCGCAACTGGTCAACAAAAGAAAGAGGGGCAATCGAAACAAAGATGTTAGAGCTATCAGGTCGTTCAAGAAATTTGGCCCAGCAGAGCGAATCAAGCATCTACTAATATATCTGCCATACACACGAACGCAACAGATATTCAGATTTCAACACTTTTGTCATTCTTCTCTATCGATTACCAGACCATCAAACCCAGGCTGAAACGCACCAGGCGGGCCCGTGCTATCATGCGTTTTTGCACAGGACTTGAAGTA